ATGTTGAAGATTCAGTGTCAAATAATCTACTTTTATTAATAATTTGATAATTTATTGAAGATGTTTTATAATTTATGAATGATATTCCAAGAAATTATTTATCTTCGAAATAATTCAATTTCGAGTGGACAGTCTTGAGTATCAATAACCAATAATCAATGTTCAAATTTATCAAGTAATCACGATATTGAAAACGGGACTTTAATGTCGTAGTAAAATCCCGTTTTATGCAATAATTGTAATGTTATTGCGGTGTGATTATGACGAAACGAACTAATCCGCAGAGTGTACCGGTTGGGAAATTCGATAACGTTAATAAAGGTTATATTAGAAACGTGAATTGTATCGTAAAGGGAGCGTTATGAATGATAAATGTGGGTGTTTGCGCGAGAGAACGTGAAAAGGTCATTATCCTCGCGTGCGGAACGTTTTCATTAAAAGGCATTCGCGCGATTCATTCGGTTCACGGCAATATATTGTCACAATATTTGAATTCCCATAATAATCGAAATAATAGCATTAATGATTTAAGATATGACCAAGTATTTACGAATTTCATAAATTGTGACTTTATTATTGTTTCATTGTGCATTAAATGAAATCGTTTAGAAGATTTCTATAAAATGTTCGAATCAAATTCTGATCCAAACTAACCTCAAATACGATATTAATTTATAAAATCATATTGGATGAAACGATTGTATTGTTCAAATATTCAAACGTATTAAATTAATTATCCATTTCTAAATATCATTTGTAAATATAATTGAAAAAAAACATTTATCTTAACTAATCCAAACCAAAATTATTCAAGCACGTTGTACAAAATAAAATTCCAATCACGCATAGGAAGCACTTTGCCAAAATAATATACGACTTTCATGCCAATTCATCACCATCTATTCAATTTTAAATTCTACTCGTCATTCCATCAACATTCATAAAAAAAGAAAATTCTAACCAACTAATCTTTAAAACCGTCCAACGATCCTCTCGCCTGACATCTACAAAAACTCCTGATATTGACACGGCCGTTAACATCAGCAGCGACATCTATTCAATATACAAACGACGCAAGGACACGTACCGTTAAGCGGTTTCTCTCCACGATCATTTCTAAAAGAAACATATTATCCGAAAAAGGACGAAAAACGGGAAAAGAGAGAGAGAGAGAGAGAGGGATTGAGGATAATAGCCGAAACGATACAAGACCCATTGAGGCTCATCAGCGCTCACACTGAACTTGACATCACCACCACCAATCATACTCGAAGCCCATCTTCACACGGAAGTCGAGGCATCTCGAGTAAGGTGCAGTCGTAAATATCGAAGGTATCCGTTGTGGTCAGGCTCGTTAATCATCATCACCAGCATCGAGATATTCGCGCTGGTGTGTATCCGCGTGTGGGTGTCGTTTTACGAGTTATGCACATCCTCGTGCTCCACCCTGCTCTCTCGTCCCGTCTCTGTTGCTCAAGGCGGACGATAATGCCGCGTACGGTTCGATAGCGGGCGTCGCGACGCCCGGCAGTCTGCCACCGTCGTTCCATTCCATCCTTCGTTTCGTTCGGCGTCGGGCAACTACATACACGTACACACGCACACATATACATACACATATGCGCAAGGTACAAGCGCACATCCACGTGCATCCCAAGCGAGTAGTACACGTATACGCACACACGGTGGCGCATGTTTTCGGTCGCAAGAAAGCATGGTCGCTCTTAGATGGGCATAGGCGCCGCCTTTGCAGAAATTCGCCCGGTTCGTTAACCCTTTGCGACGAGAATGACAAATCGATGGGGGCTTGCGCCACTTTTCCGTTCTTTCCGCACTGTTTGCGACGACTTTATGCGCTCTGTTCTGTCGGTTAGAGGAAGGGAAATGGAAGGGCTTTGGAACTTGTCGGGATTTTTATGCGAGATGCATCTTAGGATTGATTGGATAGGATCGGGATTCGATTGTTAAAGAGTGATTGGTTTTGGATAATAAAATAAGTTTCAAATTTGATTTGATTCGAAAATGAAATTGAAAGAATTAGTATGTTCTCCTCTAGACGAATTTTTGAATGATTGTTATTTATTAATAAATTATATTCTATATTTTGAATAAGTTGAATATTTTTCTGTTACTTTTTTAAACAATTTTCTTTCAACAAAATAATCCCTATCTATAAAATCTCAATTCAATTTAATCTGTTCTTAAATTATCACCTCGAAAAGCCAATTAGAAAGAGACGTTCAATTTTCATTCAGAAGATTTTAGTGGAATTAATCGGGGAATCGGAGGTCAAAGAGGGATCTTTTCGTCCAATAAAAGGAGTACGCCAATGGATCAAAGATGCAGCAGGCATGCGTTTGGCGGAACGGACCGCTTTTAGCCGAGAATATGGCTGTACCAGCAGCGCTATTAATTTACCAGACGATTTGCCCCGATTAATGTCCACGGGAGTGTTCCGCGCGCAAAATCCTCCGATTGTTCCACAACTGGTGCGGAGGGAAAACGGTACTTTCCGCGTCGTCTCTCTTCGACGTCTCGTTACGCAATTAAAAAAGAGTTTCTCCGCTGAGCGAACCGATTCACGGATCGTTTTAGAAGCGTTCGCGGTGTTGTTTACGTTTTGTTGGTCCCGTTCCACGCGGCTCCTCAATGGCCCCGTTGATTCGTCACTCCCCTCTCCCCGAGTCAATTAGCGAACGAGCCTTTAGAATTCGAATTGGAATTTTTAAGTAGCTCGTTTCTTCGTCTCTTTGTATTTTTGCCCTTCCTTCTCGTTCCTTTTCCTTTTCCTTTTTCTTTTTTTTTCTTTTTTGTTGAATTCTATATGAAGTTGTTGAAGAAGTTTGATCGAAAGCTCTTCATACTTTTTGAAATTGGAATGCGAGAAAGATATAGAATTAATTTAGGATTTATCTTGTCATTTATTACACGATAGAAGAAAATTGTAATTTTTGATAAATAATTTGTATTTACAAGTTTTTCTCTCTACGAATTGTAATCTTTTACATCGAACGTGAAGGTTCCTATAATTTAATACGTATGAAATGATATTAAGTTTTATAGAACTTAAAGTACTCTAAAATTAAATAACCTAACCTAGATCCTTATGAATCATTTAGAATCAAATTGGATTAAAGAACTTTTCAAACCTTACCTTTACAAAATCTTTGTAGAAATTCAATATATAGAATCAGTACTTACAATAGTTTAAAATGATTTCATTCTTAATTGCATTAAGTTAGTTGTATTACCATTGTAAGGTTCGCAAGCTAAGCTATTAGCTATAACCTATGTGGCGCCAATTGTCGACCTTCTAGTTGTACATTTAATATCTATAACATAGTTAGTTAAATTCCATTTCCATTTTAATATTCCATTTTCAATAAGAAACATGTGAAATATTTCACAATATTATTTTCATTGCATTGTATTCTTTAGAATAAATTATATATTTTCCTATTTCTATTTTATCCATTTCCAAATGTAAGATTATTATGCTCTCTCATCTTTCTAGTTATCTTTACTAAATTATCATTTTCATATTTATTTCTATTTTACTTTACTCATATTATTATAATAACTTATACGATCATCTTTTTTCATACTACAGCTAAAGTATCCAAAATATCTTTTTTCTCATCAAAGTTAGAATACGACGTATCCAATATTTCCAATACCTACGACTCTTGGATGATCCATTTCCCGTTACTTATTATAAACTATAGAACATTCGATTTACCCTCACTCTTTCGTCTCGAACGAGCCGGTTTCACCACTTGAACAGCAATAAAGTTCAATAGCGTATTTCCACTCTTTATCCCTCTGAATAATGTTAAGTGCCGTTCGAGAAGCATTCATCCTCGAGGCGAGAGAATGGTAGAGACAGGAACAGACAGAGAAAGAGAGAGGGAGAGAGAAAGAAAGAGAAGAGAGGAACCGATCGAACGGAAGAAGCAAGAGATAAGGAAAGAATAGGAAAAAGAGGCGGCAAGCTAACCCTCTCGAAGTAGCGTGCCGGTATCGATCGACTCTTCACGGTCGACGCTCGTTATCGGTGTTTCCATGCTTTTCCTCGTTTCCTTCAACCTTATCCTCGATCCCTCTTGCCAAACTCGTCATATCCTCTTCTTGTATTTTTACCTCAACTCCATTCCCCTCGTAAACAGTGAACTATTTTGCTCGAACTTTACATGAAAAATTCATGTCGTGCAACGATGGTAGAATTCCTTTTGGAAAAAGGTTTTTCCATCTATCTTGACTTTTTTTCTCTCTCTCTCTCTCTCTTTCATTTGTTTTCGTAAACGTAGACCTGTCAATATCCTTTTATCTCAGTCAATCGGTAACAGGTTATTTTTCGATGGATGACAGTAGTTCGCTGTATTAATAAAAGTATCTTCTTTCAACGAATGACCGTCAGAGGGCAGGGGAAGCGGTTCGTTTGGGGAATTGAAGCGGTTCTGGCAGGTAGACTGATGGGTTATTTTTTTTTTTGAATGTTTTCTCGTTGTAGAGGTAAATGAAAGATCGTTATACAGTGTTACAGATGGTATTGTACAAAATGTTTCAGTTTGATCGATTTGAGAGTTGGTGTTGGTGAATGATGATTGTGTCAGGATTGCTTTTTATTTTTTATAGCAGATTTGTAAAAATTTTGAAGATTTTCCAAACTATTGAATTAATTCTCTTCTAAAGACGATTTTTTAAAATTCTTTATGATTTAAAATATTCTTCATATCTTCATGATATTCCTTTTCATAATTTTCGTATTCACTAGTTAGAATTTCCTTTCTAACTATTACTACAATTCTTAGATAATAAAATAAAAAATTTAAGAATTCTGAAAGGAATTTAGAAATGGAATTTAGACTCTAGAATCATTCCAAAGGTATATTAACATGCTATATATAGATGCATTGGTTTATAAATCAATTCCATGGTTATGGTTAATCTTTATGGAGCGTTGGAAAATGTTTAACGACCAACGTGTTTCGATTTTACAGTGTCTGGCACGACAAACAAGAAAGAGGAAGAGACGGCGGTGGCTACTGTTGGCGTCACAGAGGAGAGCACTAGTGTCCTGGGCACGAGATCCAGGACAGGAAGCGATCCTGGTGGAGGTATAGATTTGTTGGCAGCGTTACAGTTGCACAACACAACACGACTGGGTGTTACACAGGTGCCAGGACTGGTTAGATTAAAACCAGCCTATTATCTTCAGGGTAAGTGTCATGTTTTTTGTTTGCTTGTTTTATCTTTTATTTTTCTCCAAGTTTTCAAAATATAATTTTCAGATTAATTTCCTAATAAATATTGCATTAAGTAAGAATTGCAAAAGCAGAAATATCACAAGCAGATTTTTAAAATTAGAATCTATATAGATATATTTAATTTTATAAAATCAAATAATACATCTAATTTATATATCAAGAATATTCTAATCTTAAAAATTATTTTCATCTTAATTCTATCTAATATATAAACGAAGAAGATAAAGTTATATTTATCTCAATCTTTAAAAATCTAAATCTAAACCAAAAAAATTGAACAGCTCGAAATCAACATTGCTCGAAAGAATAGTCCAAAACGAGGGTGAAAAGACGTAAATCATTTCATGCTATTTATATTGGGGTATGGCGTGCAGATTGTACGAGGCGCAGTAAATTTCACGAATAGTGTAGGAACCGAAACCTGTTTCTGCAAGGGGTTCTCTTAACCTGAATATATTCCTGTTTGCATATCAGAGGATCGTTTCGAACTGGCAGCTATCATCCTCTGGCGTTTTGAGACTGGATCGCCGGCTATAAAATCGATTATTCCTCTTTGCGTGTTACTTCCTCTATTTTTTGCATTCGTTGTTAGATGTCTAAATAAATTTTCGTTTTATTCATTTTTCAAACTTAGAATCGTATTTAGAAAAGATTGGAATTGCAATGGGATAAAAATAATATGGGGGAAAAAGTGATGACTAATAATATAGGAATATAATAGGATTATTAACATTTCACGTTTAATTGAGTAATCCTTTGATATGAAGAGATTATTAAAATTTAAGCTATTAAGATTATAAATTAATTTTATTCAAATTTATATCGTACTTTGTATTCTAAAATTAAAGCTTATTTTATCAATAACATTATTTATGATATCTATTTATGATATCTGTAAAAATCATTGAATGTTATCAATAATTATATATTGGTGAATACTTTAACGTAGAATTTTTACAAATTACTTATACATATGTTAATCAACGAGATTTATAAAATAACTTCAAACAATACTGTATAGGGCGTGACCATATGATCTTTGAGATTACGTAATAATTGATATTAGAAATATTAATTATAAATTCGAAATTAGTATTTAATCGAATTCCAATAAGAATTCATAGATTTTATCTTTCTTTTTAAATGTTTCTTCACCAATAAAAAATTGTTTCAATGATTTTCGAAAAAAATGTTTTAATTATTTGTAGTAGGTCAGTGCAAAAGAGTGATCAACCGAAAAAAAAAAGAAAAACAATTGGCGTTGATCAGTTGAACTGTGATGGTTACATAACAACTGATTAATCGATATTATGAAAGGTCAGTTTCATAGCTGCGTTGTCTCCATTGGCAAACCTCTGGAGGGAATTCCCTCGTGGTCTACGAGTATCGATTGTCCTTTTGAATTTCGAGCGAATTGACCCGGTATTTTCGCGGCATTTTCATTTTCTTGATTATACAATTATATCGATTAACAATTTTCTTAATTTATAAGATACATGCATAGTTACGAAATCGTTATATATTTTATAATAAAAATTACTGTTTTACTATTTTTACTTTAACGGATAAACAATAATTAATTTTAATTATTTTATAACAAATTATTATGTACAAATCATTATTTCAATTTAAGCAAAAAAAGAAAAATTTTCTCATTTTTTTATTAACAAAACGAAGAATACATCGTATACATTACTCGAAAAATATAATATATTAAAATATTATAATATTAAATTTCTTTAATCTGTGTCTTTAATCAATTCTTTAACCAAGAACTAATAGTAAATATACTTGCTGATTCGTTAAATAAAACGATCTCTCTCTTAAAATAATTAACTTTTTCCAAATAATAATAAGAAAGAAAACGTAATTATATTTGCGTTAAAAAATTCTAATAACTTTCTCTTTTTAGTTTCAATTTTAGAAGAAAATCCTTATAACGCGTAAAATCAAATATTCACTCTTTCTTTCTTTTTTTTTTCTCTCACGAATTCTCGACCCCAAAGAAACTTGCACATAGACGTGGTTAAAAGCGTGGGCGACGCGACAGTGCAACGTTCGCCAAAAGCGGGGGTGGTTGGCCCAAGGGCGTCAGCAGGGGTTTCCCCGAAAGAAATTTCAATTACCAGTCCGAACTGCACCCTCTGCCAATGGTTTCGTGGAAGTAACAATATTCTCTGCGGTTTGAAACGTTGAGCTAAAAGGGACCCCACCATTTCTCTCTCTCTCTCTCTCTCCTCGTTCCCCCGATTTCCCCGTCATTGCTATACCTTGTTGCCTTATTTTCGCTCGTTTCTGCGTCTTTATGAGCCGAAATCGTTGTTATTCGAGTGAAATTTTCTTCAGGAGTGTGAGTTCTTGGCAAACGATGATCACCGTTGCTTCCAAAGTGCCATTCGGTTTACGTTGGTTTTTTGGAGAGGTTATAAAAGTTGTAAGACTATGGATTGTAAAACTTTACATATATAATGAATGGTTTTATTATTCTAGAGAGATGAGATACTTCATTTCTTGGTTGATGTTAAGATACTTTGTTACTATAGTCTGTGATAATGTCAAAATTGAGGTACAAATAAAGGGAAATATTTTTAAATGTTTTAAGTCAATTGTTATCGATTATACTTGTGAATAGTTAGGTTAGATGAATTAATTACACTGAAACAGAAAGTATGTATCTATATCATGGAAAAACAGTTAATATATTCTTCATCGATGCTTTATTATTTTTTCATTAATGTCAATAGAAGTATTTGTTCATTTCGCTCTTATTTTCCTTGTCACGTGTTTATCCTCGATAAATATCCCTTTGGAGAATCGATCGAGGAAGAGGAAACATCCTCGAAACTCGGTTTCATTCAGTTCGAATTGGGAGAGCATTGTAATCACCGAACAAAAGATACGAACGTATATGCCGACACGTGTCAGAGTTTTCTCTGAACATGGAAAATAAGATTTTGCGATCCCCCTTTTGTAGTCTGATGGGGAACCAGACCTCGCTCTAGTCCTGAAATTGCTCCACCCTCTATGTCTCTCCCCTCTGTGGGGAACTCCCGATCTAATCTATGTGCTGTTTATTTCCGAAACGTATAACTTTCTCGCCCAACCATCTTCCATAGATGCCGAAATTAATGCCGACTGTCTGCATTTAAAATTCTCCCCTCATTTTTCCAAAATTTTGAAAAATTAACTTTGATATGAAATTTGAATATTTCACAAGTAACTTTCGATGAAATAGAGTTCGAATAATTATATTATCACCTCTTACATTATCATTAATCAATTCGCTAAAACTTATAATTAACCTATTTTCGACAGTAATAATATTATTGTTATTAATTTATTAATTTATTATTAATTTAAACAATATTAATCAGGAGTCATCGATACTTGTATCAATTGGCATAGAATAATTTCGAAGAGATCTGTTTACTTGTTAAGAAAATGTAGATACGGATAATTAAACAGCTAGTATAACCCTTGATGGCCCTTAGCGCATTATATTATAGCGCTGCTGGTGTCTTGTTACCTTTTATTAAGCCTCTGAAATTTGAGGCCCCTGCAAGAAACCTGGCGCATGCGTACCACTTTCACGGGTGACAACGCACCGCTCGCGAGGGCAGTGCACAATTGGTCGTGGGCCCTGTCTTATTACACGGTTCGCTAGTGAGACCCACGCGAACGGCTAATGTACTTAATCGACGAACGAAGGATCATCTTTACGCTAGCATTATGGCGCTTTTAGCTTTTAGAAATTTCATCGCATGTGTCTTTACTGACGGAGTGCAAAGAGTGTCATGTTACTGACCATGTGGTGGCTAGATGACTCTAGTGTCCAATTAACCTAACATGAGAAGTAAATAGAATAATTGTTATATTATTATAAAAATAATTGTAAATCTAATTATAAATATTTACATATTATTTTGTTTAGATATAAAAAAATGTTGATATTTTAAAGAAATATTTTACATAAATTAAAAATAGAAAAAGATTGTATATAATATAAAAAAGAATAATTTAAAATAAATTAAGAGAAAAAGAAAAGCTTTATCAAATTTTAAGAAGAAACAATGTTTTAAAATAAGAACACGAAATTTTGTTCGAAGTTTTCGGGACGCTACGGAGCCAGCAAATGCGACCAATCGAATTTCCATGCCGACAGGATTACGTAACTGTACGAATAGGAACCGTAAATTGGACAAATCGATGCAACCCTACCAAAAATTTTGTTTGACCTACATACGAGATCTGTGAAATCTTCAGCTGAACTTTAATTTTCAGAAGTTTTCAGAATTCGAATTTTTTTATTTTTTTAATGTATTTCTACAGATAATTTCAATTCACTTTTGGATTAGTTAATTTTAAAGTAATATCGAATTGAATAAAAATGGCATGGAACAATTTGTAAGAATCCGCAAATTTGTATACGAATTTTATTTTTAAGATTATCATTCTCAAAATCTATAAAAGTATATAGAAATCCGAGAAATTGAATAATTGAAAAATCCGCCAAATTCCTAACTTGAACTAAATCTTCTATCGATAAATTGAATAAGTTTGTTCCTGAACTTGTATAAATTCTTCGAGTTACTACGATTGATTGCTTCTATTGAACTTAGAACTTCGTTTTGTCTATTGCTGAGAACTTGTGAAACTTTGAAAAGGAAAGTATTGAACCATTAATGTCCAAACTATTCCACTAATTTCTGATAAATCATTAATAGTACAAAGAAGACATTCAAGATAGTTGAACGTGTAATAAAATGGAGAGACAAACGATAAGTGAATTATTCTACAAACTATGTAACATAATATCAAAAATATAATTTAAAAAAAGTAGAAAGAAAAATATACACGTAATTATTATCTCAATTTTTCAAGCTCTTCGAATAATCTTCGAAAAAAAATATTTCAAACAAAAAAGTAAATTAATAGACTAAGCTCATCTTAATTTTTTTAATTGGTATTATAGACATATTTCGTATTTCACAGTGTTTAATATCTGATACAAAAATGAGATTCATAATAATTTTAAGAATAAGAGATATGATCATAATTAAATTTAATTATAATACAACTGCAAATTAAATTACAAGATCTTCGTTATTATTATACATTTTTCTGAAACGAAATGTATCGTTGGTGTTATTAGTAACGATATTGTAGAATGGTAGAGTGGGGCGCAGAAATGATTGAGTTTTACTACTTCAGGCGAGGAGAGGGAGCTCCGACTGAACGAGGCGAGCTTCGAACGAGCGGCCACGCTACTCCGGCGGGTTCCGGAATTCACTATAGCCGCCGCTCTACGACAAGAGGAGGCCAATTCCGGGACAATCGTCGCCTTTTCACATGGGAACAATAGGTAGGGATCGTGTGTGATTTCGTGTTCGATTCGAGAATTCAAAGCGATCCTACCTCGGTGGCGTTCAAACATATGTATAAACAGGAAAAAATTTTAAAATTCTTCGTACCTTTGTCCAAGTTTATCTTCCTTTTCCTCTTTTTTCTAAAGACAGAAGAAGAACAATTTTTTTTTTAAAAGATCATTTTTATTTATTATTTAAATTAATTTTCATTTCCATCTTTTCTTTCATTCTAATATAATTAAAATAATATTAACGAGTTATTTCATCGCAATTAAATTAAATCCAAATAATTTTTATCTCATTTTTCTATTTATATTTGTAAATATGAAAATCTATCTTCACAAACTTGCTACGTGTTTTTGTTTTATAAAATACAATAAAGGAGAAAAGTATTAGTTAAATATATTAGTTTCGTTTAATCCTAATCGATTGTAGAGTAATTGGAAAAATTAGGAGTTAGCATCACCTTTAATAGAATTGACGAACTGAAAAAGGTAGGAAGTCAGTCTTAAGGAAGTTACTGTGTCACAATTGTTGAGTTGGAACGAAGGAGAGAGTACTTAACCTCAAAGTAGTCGCACCCTCTGTTGGCATACGAGTAGTGCAATCTAGTCGTTTTAATCTGGCTGACATAAATTAGATGCATATATCTACTGTCCATGTATTTATACAATAATTAACACGCTTCGTGAAACAGAAATCATTGTCAGAATTCAAGAGGAATTAAATTTGATTTGATATTCCTATGAAACGTGATAATTAGATAATTTTATTAAATATTGTACTTGCTTGATCGATATTTCAATATTTAAATTTTTCTCACAAGATGATAATGTTATAAGTTATAATCTTAATCTCGTTGATATATCTTATTCAATGTATAGTATAATTTTATTTTATTTGTTTTTTGAAAGAAATATATTAAATTAGAGATAAATGTAGAAGATAATGGTGATATTTATTAGAATTGGAATATCGATTGCATTTATTGTCAGGCTTTTAATCTCGATGTATTAGAGACGTGTGATAGATGGTAAGTGTAAAACGGAAATTGCGATACATACACGCCATCAATTTCCTTCTGATTCAATCACGTAATCTATTTAATTCTGTGTATATATTTCAATTAACAAACTAAAATGGTTTTAATCGATCTACAGTTGTGATTTCGTGTACCACATTGCTTTGTTGAACTTGCTCCATTAGATTACTAAACAATTTCATACCATTAACCAGATTCTAGTAAATTTCTGATGATAGGGATATAATCTTATAATCCTATTCAAGTTCAACTAAGTTACACTTCTGTTTAATAAAAACTTAGATTAATCCAAGACAGAAAATTGGAACACAAAGTAGTAACAATAAATACAAAATAAATAAATAAATATTTCTAGAATTAATATAATTAATAATTTTATTCGAAATTGAAGTTAAAATGTTTTATATTAATTTATCAAAAATAAAATACCAAGAAATATTAATCCAACGAATAACATAAAGAAATACAATATTTTTACTAAAAATTTATTTCGAATTAATCAAACAAGAATTTAATAATTTTAAATTTAATTGAAAACTTGTGAAATTATTAATTATTAACTTAGAAAAATTTTCTATTAACTTAGAAAAATTTCGAATTAATCAAACGACAATTTAATAATTTTAAATTTAATTGAAAACTTGTGAAATTATTAATTATTAACTTAGAAAAATTTTCTATTAACTTAGAAAAATTTCGAATTAATCAAACGAC